AACTATGTCATACTTTGAAGCAGCTAAATCTGACTCCACTAACAGAAGCTTCCTAGAACCTCACTTTGAACATTAACGCTAGATTAGTTTGCTCTACCAACACTCCATCCATCAAAGAAGGTACGTAAGAACCAGCATTATTAGTCATCCCTTGGTTCGTTCAACTAATACTATTACAGGCTCCATATTAATCTTCTTTTCTAAGTCCCACGTAGTAGATTTCAAATGCGAGACTTTTCCTTAATATAAGCAATCTTAACCTCAGTTGTGCGTTATACCTTTTCCGCTGCAATCATCGATGCCTCATTTATCCGTTATTCCTGCTACAGTTAGTTATTCTTCATATTACTTCTTCACTCTGTCACATTAGCCGCTCTCAGTTTCAACTATTTGGTCTCAATCTTAACCCTTTTATTTACTGCCTTTTTCCTTTTAATGGCAGGGTATGTTGCGAAATATAACTCGTATATAATGCTGAGATATTTGCAAAACTCCGGACCGCAGGTGTATGCGATGGGGAACGAACGCGCTATTGTCCTTACCGGGGAGTAGCGGGTGATTTTGACGGATGATTGCTGATGGCAAAAGATCAATAGAACTAGCTGAGAGACAGGCAAAACGAAGGACGCGGATGGTGTGGTGGTGAAGTGCGCTACTCTCCGGTAAGTGATGCAGTCCATTAGGAAGCAAGGCGCTAGTTCTTCAACCCCCTCTCCACCGCTTTCCTCCAATCCATGTGGGAACGCCTTGGAGTGGGTATGTTCGAGATTGCCAGCAGAAGAATTGACTCGACGAACATGCAATGACATTCATAAAGAAGACGAAAACTCTCAAGCAGCAGATGAACCAACATGAGAAAATCTGAAAGCATTTGTCAACCGTAAATGTGAAGAAAACGAATCGAGTGTATGAAGTGCTGGGATTCGCACGTGTAATACTAGTAATATAATGGTACTATACTTTCTTACTCGGATACTTGGATGGCTCATCCTCACTGGTTGTGCGGGCCCCAGCATAGTCTCCATTCTTTCGGAGATTTACTGGTTTAACCATTATGGTCTCTTGTAATCCCGAGGTTAACCTGGCCAAAGTCTGCTCCAAGTCGTCACCACTACAGGCAGTCGTGGCCCTTGTGGATCAGAGGGAGACTTGCTTGAAATGTGACCAGTTTGGTACCAGGACGGTGATGGATCTTGGTATTGGTTTACTCTTAGCTGGGCTTCCGGATGGAAACCTCCTTCTCAGGTCGGAAGATCCTGCCAGAGTGATGAATCCCCTTCCTCGCCATACTGTACATCCCAGGCGGACACCTAGGAACACTTCCCAGCCGCGATGAGGCGATAAACCGTTGGGAGGTAATGGTAGCATAATAATAGTAATATAACAACAACAGGATAGTAATATTTTGATGCTCCGTTTAAGAAATATTGATTCACTATGATTCACTATGTGGAAGCTAAAACAGTGCCGACTGCTGCAGGATGCATTGCCCGCCCAAAGTAGATCGTATTGGGGGCAATCGATTAACACCCGTCCTGTATAAAAGAGCACTGATGGCGAAGTCAACGATTCGAGCGGTGCTCCGCCCATTGGATTCGACTCGATGCGACAACGATCAACCAAATCGCGACAACGATCAACCAAATTGCGACAACGATTAGCTATGGACCATCGATTCGGATCGATCCAGCTCTGAAGAAGACGAAAACATCGAGACGTTAGCCAAGTAAACTACTTTTCTCTATCAACTTCGCGTTAGCTTGTTAATTCAATAAGGTATTAACGTAATGATAATTGCTGTAAATGCTTTAATAACAAAAAGTTTGAGATTTTCCTCTGTGGCGATTACAATGGGACCCGCGTGGCAAATTTATGCGATGTCGAGGATTCCATGTCGAACCGCTGATTCTTCGGTACTGATGCTCGATTCGAACTACCACTTTCCACGAGTTGCTCACTACATACACCGAGGTTAAATGAAAGTCGGTTTACAAAAATTCTACCTTAGTTTATAACATTAAAAACATGGTTAGCGAATATACTTGGATGGCCCGTCCTCACTGGTTGTGCGGGTCCCGGCATAATCTCCATTCTTCAGAGATTTGCTGGTTTACACATTGTACTCCCTGGAGTCCCGACGTCAGCCTAGCCAAGGTCTGCCCCAGGTCTTCACCACCACAGGCAGTCGCCACCCTTCTGTATCAGGTGGAGATTTGCCACCATGCAACTAGTTTGGTACCGGGACGGCGACGGATCCTGGTATTGGTTTACTCTGGGCTCCATGATGGAAACGCTGGACTCCTCAGCTTGAGTGACCCTGCGAGGGAGATAAATCTCCCAGCTGTATATTGCAGCCCGACACCGAGGAACACTTCTCAGCCACGATTAGACGGTAAACCGTTGGGACGTAGCGAATATAACAAAGATGTTCTAAGGCATGCAAGGGCGAAAGACGGCCGTCGTACAGCTACTCGCGGTTACTCGAACAGCAGACAAAGTTAAGTGGTTAGGAGAACTAAAAACAAGTAAGCAAATTTTTGGAGGCAATTAGGTCACATGATGAGCATGACAATGCGATTTCCTGACCTCTAATTACTTCCCACACCTCAGATGCAAAGGTTTTACATAGTTTCTTCATCATCGTCTATTTAGTGGTATGGTAATCTGTTTATTTGCTCAAGAAAGTGAGCTAAGCTGAAAAGAATTCTGCACTTCTAATCATAATGGCCAGTTAAGAGTAAACTAATGGCGCCATTCTGGGAGAAATCTGGTTAGAAAGTGACAGGTCTTCTCCCGATCCATAAGCGCTGGTAGTTGTTTTAGTGACAAATCTAGGAACACCCTAGCACGGGTTTCCCGGAGACTTCAGCAAGAATTGATGACAAATTAACAACAAACCAATGAAGTAGAATTTTTGTTTGGTGCTGGGCACTTATTCGTGACAGCAAACAACCGACTTAATTGGCGTGAAGAAGCTACTGGTTCGAATGCTGAAAAGATGCTAGTAGCTTATATATGCAAGTTGTTAAGGTATATATGAAGATGAAAGACTTGGAAATCATATAAAGAGAAGAGCGCCAAGTAGTGTACACTTCTTCGTGTGCAATTTCTGTTCCGACATTTATCTTACGGGTGAGTCCGTACACTGTAAAGTCGTCTGGCTATAAAATACTGTATAACTTTCCTGCGAGACTTTTTTTTTGTCTTACTTGTTTTCACTTCATTTTTGTTTGTTTTTTTCATTTTCTTTCACCATCGTTATTGCATTGTTTTCTGTTGAGAGAGAAAGAAGGAGAAGGTAAAAGAGGAGAAGAGGAAAACGAAAGGAGAGAGAGAGGTGTATGAATTTTGCAGGGGTCAAGCAACCACGATAAAGGTAGTGTTTTACTATAGCTTGTGAAACGCCAGATATTTCTGTTTGACGATTATGAATATACAAAACGGCTGATTGAAAAACGAATTGTTGAACTTTGATCTCTTACAAGGATATCGACCAGAGTTGCCGTGCTTTTGAACTGACGTTGGTTTAGTTCGTTCTCAGATCTAACGCTATTTTGTACAACCACAAAACAAAGGACCCGCATGGTGTGGTGGTGAACGCGTTACTCCCCGGAAAGGATAATAGCGCGTTCGTTCCCCACCATAGACACCTGCGGTCCAGAGTTTTGCAAATATCTCAGCAACGTTGTGGTTGTATTTCGCTTAGTAACCTGCCATGAAAATTATAGAAGACAGAAAACAAAACGTTAAACGCTATTTTGTACGTTTAATAAGCTGACACTCTAATTCTGTACCATTCTCGCCGACATTTCGACGGAATATGATCGTCCGTCTAGATAAGAAATAAAGTATAAAGCTCTCAGTGTCACCAGTCCCTGAGGGATGAGCTATGCATTCGTCCTCATTAAGCATCGCTCGAGGTGATTGAATGCGTATCTGGTCTTTACAATGACTCGTGGGGCCTACCGATGCATCGAGCCAGTGCTGCTATCCTCCCAGACAAGTCTGGCACCAATCTGCCCACCTCAGAGAGATGGAAGGCTTGGTGGGCCGAGGGCGCGGGAATCGATCTCATGAGCATTGCATGGCGCCTCCGACGACTGCGCTATATGCGCCCTTGCGTCTCTATGGAACGTCACAGTGTCACCGCAGTTCTATACAAACTACCTTGTTTACACTGCGGTTTTGCCGTAAGTTCTCTAATTTTTATGAAGACATTAAAGACTTAAACGTTTATGAGAATTACAATAGTTCATGTTGTGATTGGTAATCAAAGATAAACAACCTTAGCCTTAATCCAGCACTTATTTATCTCTAGTTTATATTATGTGCATTGTAAAAGTAGCATAGAATGCTTTTCTTCCGGTGTAATTGGGTGGTATTTGTCATCTTCAAAGTGTTTTGTAAGTGTTATAAGGCATAATAATATTTCTCTTATTCCTTTCATAGGTAGGACTGTGTGATATGAGCCTCTGGGTTATTTCACCTTGTCGATAATTTCATTACGTCTTAAGAGTACTGCTCAAGGTACTGCCTAAAGCACCTAGTCGCCAATAGTCACTTCTCTGAATTATGACCGTACCGCCTACAAAATCTTTTTTTTCTTTTATGACTGTGTCTTCTTTTTTCTGATGGCAGCTTTCTGTTCCTTGTTTGGCAGAATCAGAGTGAAAACGGAAACGATTTCTGATGGTTTTAACGGTGTTATTCGTCGTTCGTCGTTTTTCCGTTATGTACTTTGCCTCTCGCCAAGTGACATGTTGCTATCTGAAGTCGTCGTTGTTATCTCTTGTAAGTTAAGCCATTCAATCAATAGAATCAGACCATACATGGATTTTTCCATCGTCAGAGTTCTTTTAGTCCTTTTGTGCCTATTTGGTCTTTTTAGTACCTAGCATTTGCACCGTTATTCCAAATTATTCGCTTCCGCCATACTTAATGGCCCACGTGCCACAGCGAACATTACACTCGGACAAGTACACATTTCAGATTTCAGACAAATGGTTGATCCGCTCGTTCGTCGTTTACTGAACGTGAGGTTTGAGACGAAACGCTTCCTCTCACTTGTCACTCATGGTGGCCAGGATTTCCCGGATGAAGAAGGTCGCAAGTTCATTGCTGATCATTTTGACATCACTATACAGGTACTTTATTTCTCCTCTGGCTATGCATTTACTGATTTCAAGCATTAGTACGTTTTGTTTATTTCATCAAGCATTCAAACTGTATTTCAATGCATATGTTCTACGGGTGTTCTAGAGACTCCTGTAGCGCAGAGTTCGGAGGCGCTCTGCAATACACATGGGATCGATCCCCACACCCTAGGACCACCAAGCCCTCCATCCCTCCAGGGTCAGCAAGTTAGTACCTGACTTGTCTGGGAGGATAGCAGCGCTGGCTCGCTACATCGGTAGGCCACTGCGAGTCATTGTAAAGGCCAGATATGCATTCAATCACCTCCAACGGTACTTAGTGAAGTCGAATGTATGGTCATACCTTAGGGATTGAGCAATGCCGAGAGCTTCATTCTATTATGATGCATCGAGACATATCAGGACGGGAGTTTTAAAGTCAGGTTTTCATGAAAAGTGTTTTTTTTAGGAAGTTCTACTTTTATGTATAAACATCTGCTTTTCCTAGGCATCGTTACTGTACCTTATAGTGGTGTTTGGTACGAAGTTCTTTATGCGAAACCGTCAACCATTTTCGTTGTTTATCCCACTAAATATCTGGAATTTCATTCTTGCTGTCTTCTCTATTTTGGGAATGGTGAAGATGTCACCTGAATTTTGGTCCACACTCAAAGAGAAGGGATTTCAAAGTTTGTTTTTTTTTCTTTATTGTTTTCATTAACAGTTTTTAAAGGCTGTCTAGGAAAGTGTAGAGAGGTTTTACTCCTAACCGTAGGGTTAATTTACTCTTAATTGTGGTATATTATATTAGTATATAATATATATTATTATGTATATTATGAGTATATTATGTATATTATGTATATTATGAGCTTTACTGTGTTACATGTTTTGTTGTCATTCAACGCTGTCCTTGCGTGTTTCTTATCTAATCGTAGCCGAAAAGAACATCTTTACCTCTACCATTCTCGATTGCAAGTTGATGTATAAGTGATAAGAACTGGGAGACGAACCGTAGATCGCATGGACTCATAAGGACATTCTAGAAAAGTGTTTGGTGTGAAAAACAAAAGTAACTTATGTCCTTGTGAACTGATCTTGTTGAGCTGATGGAGGTTGGTACAATTTGTCGTTGTTGTTGTTGTTGTTGCTGTTGTTTATGTTGTCGTTGGTCCATGGCCGACGTTTCGGCGATTTCGCCCTCCTCAGAGCCATGCTGTTACGGGTGGGACTTAAGAAATTTTTTTGCTGATACGGTAATGAATTGAGCATCTTATCGATTCCACATCTCTGTTTACAACATTGTTGCATCAATTGGAAGTTTGTGTTGTGCTTATCCCTATGTAACTAACCCAGTTAAATATCTTGCTAGGTCTGTCACGAATTGTGCATTCAGTCCTATGACGATATTGACCGTAGACGTTTCAGATTCATATTGTTTCGCATATGATTTTACAAAAGGCGAAAATGGATACTGGGTGTTCTTATTCATAGTTTCCAAGCTTTTCGAGCTGATCGACACCGTGTTTCTTGTTTTGAGGAAACGACCGCTCATGTTTCTTCACTGGTAAGGGAAGTTTAGTATGTGATTTCCTATGTTTGCTTTGCTTCCGAGCATGTATTACTTCTATGGTGTTATTCTTAGTCCGTTATTGGTTTTCAAGAGCATGCAGTTTGTTATCAATTTTTACCGATCAAAACTACGACCATTCCCTGACTCAGTATCAAATGCATACGCCAGTAATATAAATATCTAGGTATCATCACATCCTCACGGGTATTTATGCGTTTGCTTCTCATCCTACAACACCTGGTTTTAATCGGTATGGTATCTACCTCAACTATACTGTCCATGCATTCATGTATAGGTGAGCTTACCTTTGAAAACCTGGTTTTTAAATCCTAGCGTGGTGGTTTTTTTTCTACTTTGCTATTTTTAGTTACTATTTTTTCCGCTCAATGAAGATCAGTGTCCCTGGGACCGTTGCGAAGTTCATAACCACTTTACAAATTCTGCAGTTCGTTATTTCATGTGCTATCTTAGCACATATTGGCTACCTCGTCTACTTTCTAGGGGTATGCATTTTTCAGAAATATTTGCTTTTGTTAGCTTTTTATTCACCGCCTAGTACAATTTTTCACGGCAGGGTATAATGTGCATCCTCACTGGGTTCACTGCCGATTCGGGCTCCCTAGACCAATCCCGTCGACTAGTGATTGCTGATGACATTTGTAGATAGAAAACTAGTTGAGAGAAAGGCGAAACCAAGTACGGTCATGGTGTGGTGGGGAACGCGTTAGCCCCCGGAGGGGATAAAAGCGTGTTCGTTCTCTTTTTAAACCCAATCCGATCAACAAAAGAAGACCTATTTTTAACTCCATCCAGCAGATACTGTGATGGAGTTAAAAATAAGTCTTCTTTTGTTGATCGGATTGGGTTTAAAACAATGAGTTTAAGCGTTTAATGTACTTATGTTACTGTTACTTTAATGTACTGTTACTAAGGTGCTTCATCCAAATTTGCAATTCGAATTTAAATATTGTTGGAATATATTTGTAGTCGGTGTTTTTACTCCGTTAGTGTCGAATTTAGAAATATTTAGTTATATCGGTCATTTCTGTCGTCCATCTACCTTTTGCCATCGCTGAACTTCTTTACATGCTTTCCCATAAGAGTAGCGGTTGTTTTTTAGGTTCGTTGCGATTTTGATGGTAACATTTTCGCCTTGGCAACGTTCATGGATACGACGTACCTGATTCTTTTCGTTAACTTCTTCCTTACATCGTATGTGATACGTGGCGGGAAAACAAAGTACCAAACCTCGTCGGCTAAATTGAAGAAGATGGACTAGAGCTGTGCACTTGAATATAGCTATTATACCTAGTGTAATAATTATAGGTGGACTTATATATTGGAACTTTTGTTTTTGAAGTTGTTTTGTTACGTTGTAACGCGGACGAATAATTGTGCATTCAAACCATTCTCTTTGTTTTGTTCGTTATCCGCGTTAGGCATGTGTCATGCCACCTATTTTTCGTGCTTCAATTTTGTGAAATTTTGTTCCACTTGCGCTTTTTGTTTTGCCAGCAGAGGAGCTGGGGACTTTGGTACCTTGATTAGCACAAGTCTGGACATCAACGGAGAGTCGTTGGGACCCTGAACGACCTGAATTGTAAACTTGCGACTTGGAAGTCATAATCTCAGCATGACTATGAGGTCAGTCAAAGTATTTTTATGGGCAGGAACTTCTGTAAGGAAGACTACACATTCAAGGTCATCATAAGCGGCTACGATGTCACGCTTCTCAGAACAATAGCTTGTAGTCCAAGGAATTAACGAGGTACAAGCGGTCTCGGTTTATCACGATTGGTTAGTGAAAAGAAGCGTGCGTGATAACTCATAAGTCCAAAGGATTCTTTTTACGATGGACACTGCAGTTCCCTAGTGCAGAGTATCGTAATGGTATTGACCGAATTTTATTCATGAGAATGAACAGACTTAACGACGACCCTATTGTCCAAGAGTTCAACATCGATTTGGAAAATTCCGTGCTTTCAACGATTAACTTTTTATTAACTTCGCCATTGATCGATAATTTGCTGTTTTCCTCGTAAAAATGCACAAGGTTGTTACTACTTTTACTATACTCCATACTAAGGAAAGCTGACGTCTCGGCGGATTTCGCTTTCTTCAGAGCCTGGAGTAGTCAAGTTGACTGCAATCTATCCAGCCAAACACTTGCATAACCCAATGGAAAAATTACAAAACCTAGAATCCAACTGCATTGGAAACAAAATAGCTTCCTCACACACTCACCACTTTCTATGGGTGTTCCACTGAGTATTTTACGTGGAGGCCAGCCACACAGTTCACATTGAAGTGTAATGTGCTCCTCTCACATTAGAACATAAGTCTTGCATACTGTGTATGATCACGCATTATTGCGAGGCATTCATCCCTGCGGTTCATTTTGATATCCATAGAATTTTTCCTCAGAACGCTTTAGGAGTTCTACGCGCTTAACTTTTAGATTCCTATTCGAAGGTGGTCACTTCTACTTCAAAATCTTCTACGCTATCTCTCAGTGACCTATGCTCGCCTAGTGAAGTATTTCCTTTAACTTTAACCTAACCGGCTAGATGTTCTTTTGTACGGATGTACAGTGGTCGCCCTTTTTTTCCAATGTATTCTTCCTCGCACGCTTAACAAGAGATGAGAGAAACCGTACCCAAACTCAATTCAATCACTGTCTCTTCCTTTAAAGCATATTACGAAATTCTTCATTGTACATAGATGGTCGTACAGGTGGCTACGAACTAGCTGGTCTCTTAGAGTGCATGGCGGTATTTTAGTCACTGTAACCGAACGCTCTAAACCAGCCCTTTTCGGGGGACATTTTATAGCTGCACTTACTTCGTCTGCCTTAGAGGCAAGTATGGATGGGACCTTATTTTTGCTAGAATTATCGTTCACAGGTGTGCTTCTTCCTCTACAGCGTCGAGTAAATTTGAGGGACTCTTCCCTTTGCTCTCTTTCCGTGCACATACTGGTTGCGGCGGTTCGAGGCATATTTCTCTCAAGCGTTTTTTGTGTGTGAGGAAACTAAACATGCCAGTTCAGTGCCTCTCCCAGCCCTCAAGTGTTCTTTGTGCTTTTCACTATATCTCCGAGACTTCCAAGAGCTTTTCAAGCCGCCGGCTTCCTTCTACACGATTCTGGAGCTAAGTCTTTCACCTTTTTGATTTCCCGATCTAGATAATCGTAGCTTGATCATTCGGGGATATTGGTTCCACCGAGCGTGAACAGAGCATACGAAACCAATGCGTTCCTCATGAGCATCGTTTTTATGAGATTTAGTATAAGACCAAGCTTTCTACAGACGTGATAGAACTCGATAAGAGTTCGTTCCTCATGGCTAGTTCCAGGTGTTTTAACTTGATTTCCTTTCATTTTCCATGACCGGTCATGACATCTACTGTGCTGATCACGGCACTTCTTACATCCGGTTCATTTTCCTCGCTTTTATAGTCCACAAAAGACTTCGAACGATTCGAGTGTTGTTCTGGTCGCTGCTTGAGGAATTCTCTGCTTTACGAATGCCGTAGAGCGCTGGTCGAATCGATTCTCCTTGCAATCATGGAGATAGCCGTGCTAATGCTTGGATTGGAGGAGAGCGTTGGGAGGGGTTGCCAGAACCTTGCTTCGTTATGGTCTGCTTTATTAACTACTGCGTTGCCACTCTCAACAGTTTAATTATACATAGGTGAACGCAAAGAAATGCTTAATATTATAACAATGATTTCACCAAGAAAGTGAAGGTGGTGTATCACCTGTATCACCTGTAGCCTCGTTGATCGACGAGTGACTTGAGCGGGCACCAGTATATTTTCCATTTTTCTCTGTCGAGTGCAAGAGTAGCCCAGTTGGCTCTGCTCGCTCTAGAGACTCGTCGAGCATCATATCTTTCTTCTAGGACTTTTGCGATAAACTCCGACACTTGGGTCGGTGGTCTTCCTGTTGTACGTTTGATATCGCGGAGGTCCAATCACCAACGGCTCTTTCTATCGGTTGTCGCTTATACAAATTTCGCGTACCGCCCATCTCTTCGTCTAGAGTTTTGCGTATAGAACGGCATTCTTGATTTTTGATCGTTGACGCAGATCAGAGCTTCGGGTCCCAACCTTTACTTGTGTGGAACGGGATACTCCTAGCATCATCCTTTCGACTACGTGTTCAATAACGCTGAGTGGTCTTTCATCCCGCTTACGCAGCGACCAGGTTTGTGACGCATATGTTAAGGCAGGAAGTACCGTTAAGTGGATAATGTGAGCATGGAGCCGGGTGTTCTATGTTTTCTTCACTACATCTTCGATGCTCTTGAAAGCTCTCCAAGCCGATCGTTTGCTTCTCCTCAACCCTGGAGCTAAGTCGTTCAACATGCTGATTTCCCGACGTAGATAGATGAAACTAACTGGAACTTTCGGAGATATTCGTTCCCTTGAGCGTAAGTGGAACATACGAAACCAATCCGTTCATCGCGAACATCCTTTTCGTGAGATATAGTCAAAGACAAATCTTTCCAGAGGCTTTATCGAAGTCGGCAAGCATACGTTCCTCTTGGCTAATGTTTGCTGTTATAAGGACGATGTCATCAGCAAAGCGAAGATGGTGTACCTGTCAACCGTCAATTTTCACTCCCATATTACCCCATACCAATGTTAGCATGACGTTCTGGAGGGTGGCGGTAAATGATTTTGGCGAGATGGTATCGCCTTGCCTAATCACTCTTATGACGTCGATGTTAATACCGTTGTAGAATGGTGATATCCTGGTTGCGAAGTTTTTGTACTCCTCACGAAGAATCTTTATGTGCTGAGTAAAGACGCTGTGCTTGTCCAGGGCTTTGATGACTGTTTATATATCAATTGAGCTAAAGGCCTTCTTTAAATCGATGAAAGTGAGACAGCGCGGTCTTTTGTACTCTCGCGATACTTCAGTAATTCTTCTTATCGTGTGGATGTGGCCCATCATACTAAATCCTTTTTGGGACTCTGCTTGCTCACAAGGATGGTTTTCGTTCAGTGTTTTGTCAATCCTGTTTAGCATGTCTCGAGTGAAAAGTTTTTAGACTACAGACAGCAAGCAGATGGGGCGATAGTTGCCGATATCGTGCAGGTTACCTTTCTTGAACAATAACACGGTCTGGCTGATCTTCCGCTGAGTAAGGACGTTGCATTCAGACAGGTAACATGTGAAGAGCCAAGCCAGTGTGTTTACGAGGTCTGGCGGAAGGTTCTTTAGGTGTTCTGGTCTTATCCTGTCCGGACCTGTTGCTGTTCGGTTTTTCACCTACGAAATCTCCTGTCGGATTTCGGAAGGGAGAACCGGTGGTACAACAGATCCATCCTCTTTTATTTCATATGACGGAATGTGGACGTGGCTATCGAAGAGATCGGAATAGCATTCGTGAATAATGTTCTCCGTTGCCTTTCTGGGTGCTGTAACTGTTCCGTCTGGGCGCCGGAGTGCAATCATTTTGGCCTTGTAATTGGCGAAGCTTCGGTGGGCTTTGCGAATGCTTTTCCCAGCCTCTGGAACTTCGACTATAACTGTTGCTCTACGTTTTTTAAGATCTTCCTTTATCGTCTGTCTGCATAGCTTCGCAGGTTCGGACGTTAGTTGGCGGTTGCTTTCAGCTCGCGCGATTCCGGGCAGCCGTATAAGCTCGAGTGTCTCGGGAGTCAGACGTCTTTTTGTCGCTTTCCAGCTTTCAGCTTTCATAGCGCTAACGTGAAGTTGAATGAGCCGATCGTGTTCTTCATCGACGTTGGCGAGAACGGCATCCTCCGAACAGCCTATTAGTGAACTGAGTAAGTCCCAGTTCATGGTGGTTTTGGGAGTCGATTTTTCGAATTTAGCGGGATTTGCTCCTCTGTACGAGAAATGGAATCTTGCAGGAAGGAGGCGGTGGCCTGATCCCGTGCGAGATTTTCGGGCAACAGCGACATCGGTTAGGCAAAACCTTCTATTTAGTATGATGTGGTCTATTTCGTTATGGTACTCTCCACTAGACTCCCATGTCCAGCGTTGAGGGTGCGGCTTCTGGAATTGCTAGCTGCCATGTATGCTCTTGGTCATCATGTTAAACTCAGAAAGCCGCTCATCCTGATCGTTCCATTGTAATCAGTGGGTGCCATTGTGACGTTCTTCGGACGTTCTTCTTGCTCCAGTCTTAGCATTAAAATCTCCATTGATGACCGCGAAGGAGGTACGGTCTTCTGTAGAACTTCTCTATAGTACGCTTCGACTTCTTCTTCGTCATAGTTTGTTGTCGGCCGTAAGCAACAAAGA